TGAGCTGGAATGTCTACCACACTACTATTTTTAGCCCCATAATGTGAGCTCTGTGAGCCCGAGTCAGTTGAACTGGGCTCTGAGACTCACTGCCATGGGTTTGTTTGGTTTGGTTTTTTTTTGCAGTGTTGACATACCCTAAGACCCTGGTCCTCGCACACTTATATGCATGCTTACCTCTAAGCATGTGAATAGGCCCGTTGACCCCCATGGAATTACTTACATGCTTAACTGCATGGGGTAAGTGTTTGTAAGGTCAGGCTGTAAATATGGATTTAGGTGCCTAACTTTTGAAGTTTTGAAAATGCTTCTCTTAATGGTTCTGTGCTTTAGTTCACACCTTCTCTAAACTGCCTATAATCCTTCCCTCCTCAAAGATTTGTCATGAAAATTAAAGTTTGTCAGGCTCTTTGAATTATGCAGCTGAAAGGAGTTCATGGGAGCTCAAAGTATTTTGGCTGTCCCACATTGCTTGATTACAAAGGAAATGCTCCCTGACTATATCACTATATATACTGTAAATATGCATGGAAGTTTCAAAAATAATCATTTCAAAATGAATGTTTGACTGTAGCCCTCAGTTATAACTTAAAATACCCTAATTTAATAGAGATCTGTTATTTGCCAACAAACATATAGACCGCATTATAAATCGGGCAGTGGTTTGGGTATAGTATAATGGGTCGCCCCATCTCAAAAAAGATATATTGGACTTGGAAAAGGTTCAGAAAAGGGCAACAAAAATAATTAGAGGTATGGAACGGCTGCCATATGAGGAGAGTTTAATAAGACTGGGACTTTTCAGCTTGGAAAAGAGACGACTAAGGGGGGATATGATAGAGGTCTATACAATCATGTGGAGAAAGTAAATAAGGAAGTGTTATTTACTCCTTCTCATAACACAAGGACTAGGGACCACCAAATGAAATTAATAGGCAGCAGGTTTAAAACAAACGGAAGTATTTTTTCACACAACCGACAGTCGACCTGTGGAACTCCTTGCTGGAGGATGTTGTGAAGGCGAAAACTATAACAGGGTTCAAAAAAGAGCTAGATAAATTCATGGAGGATAGGTCCATCAATGGCTATTAGCTAGGATGGGCAGGGATGGTGTCCCTAGCCTCTGTTTGCCCGAAGCTGGGAATGGGCAACAGGGCATGGATCACTCGATGATTACCTGTTCTGTTCATTCCCTCTGGGACACCTGGCATTGGCCACTGTCGGAAGACAGGATACTGGGCTAGATGGATCTTTCGTCTGACCCAGTATGGCCGTTCTTATATTCATAGGCGCCAACTTTCTCCGGTGCCGGTGGGTGCCCACGCCTCCCGCCCCTTTCCCCGCCCCTGGCCCCGCCCCGACTCCACCCCATCCCCGGCCCCGCCCCCCATTCAAACCCCATCCCCTCCCTGCCCGTATTGGATCCCTTCCCCAAATCCCCGCCCCGGCCCCATCTCTTCCCCCAGTGCACCGCGTTCCCCCTCTTCCCCCCCACCTCCCTGCCCTGCAAATCAGCTGTTTCAGGGCGCAAGCGCTGGGAGGGCGGGGGGAGAAGCAGGATGTGGCGGTGCGCTCGCAGAGAAGGCGGAGGCAGAGGTGAGCTGGAGCAGGGGGGTGGGGTGGGGCCACGGGGAGCTGCCGGTGGGTGCTGAGCATCCACCAATCTTTTTCTGTGGGTGCTCCAGCCCAGGAGCACCCACGGAGTCGGCACTTATGTTATGTTAGCTAGTCTCCATCAGCATGGTTTTGATGAAAGCTCAGTCAATATGTTTTGCCCTTCCAATGACAAACCACTGGCTTCAGCTTTGATTTAATGGCCTAGCAGAGGCATTGAAAAACCTCAAATCAGGTGCTACAAATATGCATCTGACTGTTAGGGCTCATCAGCAACAAAGGATGGCACAAAAGGAAGCACACAGAACCAAAAGTCATTGCAGGCAGAGAGGGGGGAAAGGAGCAAGAAAGTGTAGGAATGCAGCATGACAAGTTGTGAGAGCCAATCACTCTTCCACCCGAGGTAGTAATCTCAGGGGATGGCACAAATGTACGAATGGGGCAGTGAAGTACCCATTGACAATGTGGAATACAAAGTAAACAGTGCAGTGAACATTTTCTATTACACATGTGACGTGCAAAAGGTCTGAAATAGGGTGCTGGTGAAGAGCACACTGATGTTTTTTATGTGTAAATCACTCCCACTGCATTTTACAAATCTGGATGCTGTGTAGATATCATCTAACTGGATTTTGGAGGCTCCATTCTTGTGCAGAGCAGGGACGGTAGAATCCTTGTGTCTCCGTCTCCATGGAGAAGCTGCAGAGTGTGACTCACCGCTGGCAGTGAGGGATCCCTCTTTTCCTACCTCTGCTTCCTTCTGCTTTGTGAATTCACTTGCTCTCTCACACATCCTCCAGGCCGCTGGAACATTGTTAATAATACTTTGACGCTGCCCATTCCCACCTCCCCTTTCTATTCTGGGAGGGGCAGGTTTCTTTCTGGCTATATTTTGAGCGTGTTGATTAGGGCAACATCCTTGCTTATATTTAGTAACACAAAGAGTTTTCATAGTGCCCATGTATTCTGCATATTACATGTTTGATGTTGCCTTTGTGTGTATTTTGCCTTTTTAAATATACATGCAAATTGTTGTGAAAGATGAAAATGCATCACCCAAAGTTGGGGCTGGAGGGAACCCAGGAAGGGTAGAGGCGCATTAGGAATATTGTGAAATTGACTGGGGAAAGTAGAGTAGGACAGAAGCAGCGCTATGGTAAGTCGTCTCATCTGACATAGCCCCAACAAGCCTGAAAACACTGTTATTTTAGCGGAAAATTAAACCTGTTGGAATGAGGACCTGGTTGGTTTAATAACAAGGAACTAACCCCACTTTTGCAATGTTTTGGAAAGAACTACCGGGACATGGTAACTTGAGCCCCAGTTTAGCAAGTCACTTAGGTCCAGCTCCTCAAAAGTATTTTGGCATCTAATTCCTATTGATTTAACTCAATGGAGTTCGGCACCTTAATACGTTTGTGGCTCTGGGCCAGATTTTCAAAGATTTATAAGCACTTAAAGATGCAGATAGGGGTCTACGGCTAGATCTACAAAGGGGATTTAAACTCAACGACTAACTTCAGGTGCCCTGCAACCTAGCGAAATCTTCAGCCCCAAATCAGGTGCCCAGGCTCCCTATACAAGGTACATAGAGAGTTAGGGATCGGCAAGAGGGGAGTCACAAAAGCCAACAATCTTTGTGGGGAGCCATCTAAGGGAGCCAGTAGGAAATGCTGAGGAGATGGGTGTGGCTTACGCTCTGCCCCTCAAAGGAGCAAGGCTCCTAAATCTGCTCAGAATTCACAGTGGTGAACCTTCTCCTAGAGTTAGCCATACAAACTAAATGAGCCCTTTCTTGCAAAAACCACCAGGCTACAGATATCAGAGGGGTAGCCGTGTTAGTCTGAATCTGTAAAAAGCAACAGAGGGTCCTGTGGCACCTTTGAGACCTTCTGTTAGTCTCAAAGGTGCCACCGGACCCTCTGTTGCTTTTTACAGGCTACAGAGTCAGACTCATTGTCTCTCTGGCCCAAGGAGCAATTATTTACTTACATAAACTGGAGCAGCCTCCACAGAAGATTGAGACCTGCCCCGGGATCCTTCATAGCCCGGTGATGGAGGAAAATGCTAAGTCCCTGCTCTACATTACGCAGAGTGGGGATTTGAACCTAGGTCTTCAACAGCCTGGGTGAGTGAACTGTTGGGTAAACCTCCTCTGGGCTGCGTTTTGTGTGGAGATTTGATCCCATACATGTGCTCTAAGGCATTTTCAGCGCACGCTTACCAGATCAGGCCCCACAGGTAAGATAAGTGGGGGGAAAGCCTAGTTTGTAATCCCCCTGTGGCTTAGATGGGAGCTAAACACCAAGCAGCTCAGCGATGGCAATGTGCACACACACTGCCAGAAATTTAGGCACCGTGAGGATTTTACTGGCAGAAATTTAGGTGCCTAGGAATTTGGGGCACCTACAGGGTTGTCAATTAGGAGTCTAAGGATCTGCATCAGTGGTGGGCAACCTGCGGCCCCCGAGTAGCATGTATCATTGTGACACCATTGTTTTACATACTCATATAATTGTGAAATCTACGCTCAACTACTTTGTCTTTTCTGCTTCTTGAGGGTTTCACAACCTTTTTTAAACTATTCAGGTGGGATTCCCCAAAGGGCTTAGCATGAGCTTAACTCTCCCAGGGATATCAATTGGTGCTTTACACTGACTTAGTGGGAGCAGTTAGGCTAAAGGTGAGAGTTTGGGGAAATCCCACCTGACCTGTTTTATTGTCCCTCGCAGTTAAAAGTAAGGGCTTGTACAGACTGCCACTTGTGTCGGTATAACTTAGGTCGCTCAGAGGTATGATAAGTCACCCTGTGAGCGACATACGTTACGCTGACCTAAGCGCCAGTGTGGAAAGTGCTCAGTAGTCGGGAGAGCTTCTCCCGCCGATATAGCGACCGCCTCTCATGGAGGTGGTTTTATTATGCCGACGGGAAAGCTCTCGCCCGTCGGCAGAGAGCATCTTGAGCAGATGTGCTACAGTGGCACAGCTGCCCTGGTGCATCTGCAGCGCTTCTAGTATCGACTAGCCTTACATTGTTAGAAGTTTGGTGAGAAGTCACTTTTGAGAGGGATTTATGTAATCGAACCTCTCACACACACAAGAGAAACAACTCTTTTTCTTTTGAACTGTTTGTAAAGTTAACGTAGAGTATCACATAGCTTCTATGTAGCTGGCAGTCCAATTCAGTGCACATTACTGGTGGTCTGTACCCGGGACACCTGTGCTACAAACCAGGGTGTATCCTGTACAGAGATTGTTCTTTTTATATAATATTCTGCTGGCCTTCTGCAAGAAAATCTAATCAGACCTGAGAGTATATATCAAATCCTTCTGGAGGTGAGTTCAGCAATAACCCCATCGTATTTCATTCTCTTTTCTATCCACAGCTGGACAGCGCTACGTCCCTCATCCAGGCAGCTAAAAATCTGATGAACGCTGTGGTCCTTACTGTGAAAGCATCATATGTGGCTTCTACGAAATATCAGAAGGTCTATGGTACAGCTGCAGTGAACTCACCTGTTGTATCTTGGAAGATGAAGGCCCCCGAGAAGAAACCCTTAGTAAAGAGAGAAAAGCCAGAAGAGTATCAGACACGAGTGAGAAGAGGTTCCCAGAAGAAACATATTTCCCCAGTACAGGCTTTAAGTGAATTTAAAGCTATGGATTCCTTCTAAAACACTAGGCTTTACCAGGAGGGTTTTATATTCCTTTTTGTATGCATACCTGCCGACTTGTATGCGTCTGGCATGGGGGAAAAAACTAATGAAGCAGTGTCAATTTGCATGCAACCTGAGGCTCTATTAAAGTAATTAACAATCTGCAACCCATGAATGCAGACCAATCTATTCTGATGTTACATGGAGTTATCCCAAGCTTACCTTTTTAAACTATAGCCTAAAATTGGCCAAAGAATTTTCACCTCAAGTGTGGGGGTAAATAATAAACTGAAAAGCAAAACTTTATGCATGCAAGAAACATTAAGTTGGCAGGTATATTTAAAAGAAAAAACCTTGAAGTGTAATGGTAGACCATAAAGCTCGTATTGCTTCTGTTACAGTGCAAAAATGTACTAGCCAATATGCTTAAATGTGTGGCCCAATAATTAAACAATTTAACTTTTAAGTCATCTTCATCATAGTATGTGAATTTTGAACAAGGATAAAGACTAATCCATTTTAAAAATGCTTCCTTTAATCCATATTTTATTCTTTATATTCTAGTAGTGGTTATGACTATGCTCATGTTTCAATTAATCCCATTAATATGGAAAAAAGTTTTACTTTTTGCCAATTGAATTCTTTATGGTGAAGTATGAAGCACAATATGGTGATTGACATTGCCTTTTATATTATTATTATGTTATTGTTAGAAATAGAAGACCTGGTGGTGGAATGCTTAGACACAGAAATTGATTATGTGAGAATTTAGAGGCAAATATGTAGGTGTAGCTTGGATTACAGGTATCTAATATACCATTGTAACCACTAAATCTCAATAAACTCATTTAACCTTGGAATCCTGGGTATGACTTCTATCTTTTAATGCACAGATATCATTCACCATGGCCTTCAGATGAAAATCGATTTATTTTGCATTCACGCATCCATTTTGGGGGTGAGGGAGACAAAGTAGTGTATTGTGTACTCACTTTCCCACAACAAGGAAGGGGAAGGGTGCAAATCCGGCTTGCAGCATGTATGTGAGATAAAATTCTGTGATTCTTCAGTTGAATACCCTCCTATCAATTGTATAGAAAACCAAACAAACAATTGCCCCAAACAGATTCTTTCATGTAATGTGGCAGAAAATATTTGATGGGTTTCACCCCTGAAGCAGCTACACAGTAGTTAATTTGTACTGAATTTGTAAAGCTCTATTTAATGTAGGTGTCTGAGCATCTGGGAGATCATTTTAACATGCCAGAACTGTCTACACATTATTGTACTGAAAAATGCATCATTAACTTATATTCACTTTACAGCCTAAGAATTGGTTGAACTGCATTAATTGGGTTAATATCAGTATAACAAGGTTTTCCCTCTATTTGAATGTAGGACAATCAGCATGAAAGTATTTTTTGTTGGAATTAATTGTTATTTCCTAGAACTTAATAGAGCATTCCTGACCTCTCATGAAAGAGCATGAAATAAAATTTGTATTCATCTGGGGCAGAGTGAGTTATACCATACATGGCATTTATCTGCTTTATATGATTTTGAGAGATGAGTTAGTATGTTTGCCCGGGATATATTGGTTGGACATATGCCGTTGTCTGTTAGAACGTCAGTGCAACACAACAGCATTATATTGCTTCCTCACATACAGACTGAATGCATTAAATACCCTTCAGTCACACCACAAGGAGAAATAAGAATTCTCTTTGGCTATGTTATTTGTCTAGTGCCTAAAGACTCTCAATGAAGATCAGACCCCACTGTGCTAGGTGAGCTTCAAACACATCGGAAGACACGAATCCTCCCTTGAAAAGCTTACACCAGAAGCCTGTGACGCTAATTGTCATGATTTATGGTATTCATTATTACTACTTATTGAGCACCATAGATGTGGTTGGCTCTTTACAAAACAAAGACACAAGGACAAATTCCTTGATGGTGTAACTCCATTGGCTTCAGCAGAGTTACACCAGTAGAGAACGGAGTCCTCGTAATCCCTGCACTGAAACCTTTAAAATCTGTTGCCCAAATTTCCCAGTCCACTAAGGCCAACAACATATGGATTTAAACTGGCCAGTTTCCCAGCAGAGAATCCCTCTGTGTACACAAAAGATGGAGGAAAGGGCGAGTCAAGTGTGAGCTGCGTATGTATCAGGAGTGTGTAGAGCATGGCAGAGCTATACTGAGACCTTCCTTGATGGTGGGGTCCTTACACCAGAAGTTCTAGTAGCATAATTTAGAGCAGTATCCTTCCTACTCTAATTTACCCTGGGGCCAAGCAGCCCTAAATTAGAAAGCTGCAACCAGTTCCCCATGGCCATCAATCAGGGCCTAAGTATTGGATCACAAAAACACAGATCACGGAGCATCGGGAGTATTCCAAAGGGATCTCTTACCACTGGACATATCCCTGTGGGATTAGGTAATACTGGAATACCTTCTATTCATGTTGAACTTTGAGGATCTTTATCTGCTACATGTTTTGACTACTTTAATTATAACTAGTTGTAAGCCAATTAAGAAGAGTGTAAATTGTGAGCATTGGTCTCCCTAATTTCAGTATTACCATTGCTATACCTTGAAGTAACATTTCCAAAATGATGACTTAAAAAAAATAGTACAATGTACAAACCGTTTCTTCGAAGAAATGTGGGCTTTTTGTTTGTCTTCCTCCCTTCACTCCCCACCCCACTTTCAGGAGGAGTAAACAGATCTACCTATCAGCTTAAATGATGGCTCAAAAATGGGAGCCAGTAGAAAGCCAACATTTCAAAACTGAAGACAATTAACAACCACAGGTGATCAATTATTCAATTCAGTAACAAACCAAGGAAAGAGAGTTATTTAAACACTGAGTGAGTGGGGGGAGGGATAGCTCAGTGGTTTGAGCATTGGCCTGCTAAACCCAGGGTTGTAAGTTTAATCCTTGAGGGGGCCACTTAGGGATCTGGGGCAAAATCAGTACTTGGTCCTGCTAGTGAAGGCAGGGGGCTGGACTCAATGACCTTTCAAGATCCCTTCCAGCTCTAGGTGACAGGATATCTCCATTCATTTATTGAGTGCCACGTTTCTAACTCAATATTATACCATAATTACAGTGCAAGGAAAAGCATTAAGCCTCTGGCTGCAGGAGGTAACATTTCTTGCACTTGATCAGGTCTCTTTTGATAATGATTTGCTCCCAGCTGGTGAGCAGACTCCCAGCCATTGGCCTGAAGAACAGCATGGCGTTCTGGCAGGCATCCCTGAGTTGGATTCTGTTTTCAGCAGGAATAAAAAAGTCCTAGCATAGCTCTCCATACTGTGGTCACTATTGTTGTTATTCAAATGCAAGAACATGTGGCCTTTGCATAGGAGACCAGAAATCCAACCTACAATTCTGGCCTGTACACTATTTCCAGCAATGGCCAGTTCTTCTGAACTGTGCCTCTGCAGAGAATGCTGTGGGATTTGGGCTTGCAGCCCATCTTGATGAAGCTGAACCAAAATGTTTCTGTTTTATAGTTTCTCCCTTTGGTAAGTATAACCACCAGTTTTTGACTCAGGTACTAGTGAACACATAGAAGTGGTGGACTTTTTGTGGCAGGTTGGGAAGCACTTTTCTATGAGAGCATTTTTTTTTTTGTTAATAGTGACTAGCGGGAAGAAGACTTTTAAAAGTTAAATGTGGTCTAGTCCAAAGGGTAGCTAATGGGACAGGGTACCTGATGGTCATCTACAAGGGTATGAAGGGTGCACAAATCAAGACCATCAAAGAAATCTTTTGAGTGAGCCAAAGCCAGACTACAGACCTTGATTCAGCAAAACAATTAAGCCCATGCTTCACTTTAAGCATGTATTAAAACATAAGTTCCCAGTAAGACTTAACTGTGTGCCTAACTTGAAGCATGTGCTTAAATGCTTTTCTGCCTAGGATAAACTTAAATGTGCTTAAATACCCTGCTGAATCAGAGCTATGATTAGTAGTAAGGGGATGAATCTAAGGGTACGTCTATACTACCTGCCGGATCAGCAGTTAGTGTTCGATGTATCGGAGATCGATTTATTGTGTCTCATCTAGATGTGATAAATCAACCCCCGAATCGACGCCCGTACTCCACCTTGGCATGAGGAGTAAGTGGAATTGACGGGGGAGCCGCGGCGATCGACTCGCCGCCGTGAGGATGGCCAGTTGCGTATCTTAGTTCGAACCCTCCCCTCCCCCCGCTAGTGTAGCCCAGGCCTTAGCAAAGTAATACTTTGGGCTAATAATGTCCCAATGATGTGATCTACCAGGGTAAACTACCTTCCAGAGACCCATTGCTAGAGTACTTTAAAAGCAGAGTGGATATGAAGCACTAGAAATACACTGCAGACAACAATCCTACATTGGCCAAAAGGTGGACTGGATGATATTTTCCATTTTAAATTTTTATGCTCCTATGATTAAAGCTGGCTATAATTTTTCAGCTGAAAAATGTGGCTTTGGCAAGAACAAAAGGTTTTGTTGGAATTTTTTTAAGAAAAAAATTGATTTTTTTATGGGAAATTTCAAAATAAAACCAAAAATGTTGTTCAGTTTAGAACTGCATTTTTTTTGCTTCATGTTGTTTTTTGAAAACTGAACTGAAACAAAAATTTCTATTCCAATTGAAATATTTTTAATTGAAACAAAACTTTAAAAATTTCATTTTGTTTAGAAATTTCCTGTGAAAAGTCAAAAAATTGCAAACTAAAATGTCTCATTTGAAATTTTTTGGCAGTGCATTACAACAATTGTTTTGCTCTACTTATGATAAGGTACTGATAGACTTCAAGGCCAGAAGGGACCATCGTGATCATCTAGTCTGACCTTCTATGCATCACAGGCCACAGAACCTCGCCCATCTCGTATCATAGAATATCAGGGTTGGAAGGGACCTCGAGAGGTCATCTAGTCTGTAAAAGACCCATAACCTCTAGCTGAGTTACTGAAGTCCTTAAAACATGATTTAAAGACTTCCAGTTATAGAGAATCCACCAATTAATCTAGTTCAGGCAAGCAAGTGACCAATGTCCATGCTGTAGAGAAAGGCAAAAAACTCCCAGGGTTTCCGTCAGTCGGACCTGGGAGAAAATTCCTTTCTGACCCTAAATATGGCGATCAGTTAAACCCACCAGCCAGATACCTGGGAAAGTATTCACTTAAGTAACTTATAGCCCTCCCTACTTGTGATGAGTCTACCTAGTGATACAAAGTGGACCACAGATTTCTTTCAACAGTCTCAAGGTCTCATCTTGTATTTTCAGCTCCTTCTACAATCAAAAGGCAGTCCACTTGGCGTTCCTAGACAATGTTTTAAATCAAGGTATTATCTGTGCTTCACAGGTGCCTGGTAATTTTCAGACTGAGTTGAAACTTTTCTCTATCTACCCTTTGGTTTACCCACTTAGGCACTTGAGTGCATGTTTAAGTGCTTTGCAGAACAGGGATGGACCTAAGCAGGCCTTTAGAGAGGCACTTAAGTTAGGCCTTTAGAGAGTGACAGTTTCATGTGTAGCTAAAGGGTTCATCCCTTTACTCCAATTTTAGCGATGTTCCCCTTGTATCTCAGTTAACATCAAGCCATGGAGAATTTGACAACTGGTGAAGACTACAGGTGATTGAAATGTGTTTTCTTTTTCTTGTTATTTTTTAAAGCAATATATATATACATATAGTTAATGACTTGATCTACACTGCCTTTCATTGAAACTCTTTGCTGGAGTGCCAAAGGAATAGTTTGATGTTGCAGATTGTCCAACCCAATAGTCATTTGTACCTTGAAGTAAAATTTCAAAGTTCCAAACTTGTTTGGCAGGTTCTGAGTGATAA